GTACAATATTGCGTGGGAACACAAAAGAAAAAAAAATCTCTCCATGTCCCCTCGTGGGCTACGTACAACCATGTACACCGGTAGATGACATCATAAACATGGGGCCGGCTAACAAGGTGAATAGAGAGCAAACAGAGGCAAATATGAAAAGTGAGGCGTTAATTTGCCCATTTTCATGCATTGTTCTTACAATTTTGAGTTACTGACTAATCTCCCACAGTTTCAGCCCAATGAGCGACCAAGCTTTTCTTTTAAGAGCAAGTTTTATTAGAAGATGTCTGATTTTTTTTTATTTTCTCTCAAGCTGAGTGACTTTTTTTTCTCCTTTGATAAAAATGATTGTAGTTACCGACGGGGATGTTTGCCATTTACACAAAAAACCTCAGCACAATGTCTCTGATGGTCTCATTAAAGAAGAAGAAATTCTGCTGGTTAACGTTTGACTTGGGAATATTTGAACAGAATGACAGTTATTCAGTTTTTTTCTTCCTCCAATTCAGCAGGCATTCACTCTAATGCTGTTTTCATTTAAAACCTCTCAGATACAGTGCCTGTGATCGCAGTAAGAGAAGAAATATCAACTCCAAGCTCCGGATTGCTTAACCGTCAAAAGGCAGAGTAAAATGGCAGTTTATTACAACGAACAGTTTGATCAAACCTGTTGAAGCTGTGAAGCTCCAGTACAAGATTTCCAGCAATCACCACATCACAAACGCTGTTTTATCAAAGGTCCATGCCTTTTAAAAAATGCTGTGTGAAGTGTCTTTATAGCATTATTACTGCTGCTGAATGGAACAGTGAATTTCTTCCATTTAAACACAGTTTCAGTCAAAATGATTCTATTTTTCTGGGGGGGAAACCCAAGTTAATACAACCTGCTCAGATCCACTTCTATACTGGTTTGAAAAACTGACATAAATAGACAAATAATAGATGCTGACTGTTCATCATCCCCACCTTTTCTTTAAGTAAAACTTGTTGATTGAAGACAAATGAGTTGTGTGCAGTTTGTGGTAAAAATAAAGTGTGTGTGTCTGTGTGTGTGTTGGGGGGTCCAGACAACAGAATTGTTTTTTTTTTTTTAAATCAAAATTAAATAAAAATAAAAGAAAGTGGAGTTGGGAGATTCACACTTTTTTCTACCTTCTTCAAGTTAATTTCCAGTGGAGAGAAAAAGGTTGTGAAAAAGAAGAAAGCAGATCTTTTTTCCCCACCTCTGAGTCCACCTTTCATTTTTTTTTCCTTTTCATTTGTCACTTTGGATGACAGAACAAATCCAGAGAGGCCACAAAAAGCTGATGAAGGAGGGGATTAGAGGAGATTCTGTCCCCTTCATGCTCTCGTCTTTTCTGGTTCATCACTGTATGATATGATGGCAGAAAAAAAGAAAAAGAAACAAGGAGAAAGTCAAAGAAAGATGATTGTACGAGTACGCTGAAGTATTTTTATTTTATTTTTTTTTCGGCTTAAAAGTTATGTAGGTAGAATAACAAAGGCAACAAGATCAAATAAAATAAATATATCAAGGATAGAGGACTTGTGATACATTTTGTTTATAATCATTTGTCATAAACTTGCATCTAATATTCAACAAATCACTTATTGCTTTTTGTTTAGTTTCATGACATGACTTAATCACTATATATGGATTTGATTCTCTGCACTGAACTGAACCAGCTCCTCAGCATCAGTTGACTGTCAAAGTGAAACTTGGGATTTAATCAAGATAAATGTGTATTTTTCTGTCTTGACACAAATATATCATCAGCATGSTAATTTCTGTGATTATGTGTTTTGCGCTGTGGCCGTACAGGTTAATGCAGGGCTATGTGATACGTTTTCTTATGAGTGTTTCTGTCATCGTAGCGGATGTTCATCATGACCTGCTGACGTCAACATCTCGCCTCGCCGCTCTCCTTTCATCCTGAGGTTTCCTGCAAGATGGCCTCGACCGATTGGCTGTGGAGGCGTCTGCTGTTGTTGTTGAGGCTGACGCTCCTTCTCACTTCCTGTTTTGTGTCGGAGTTGGTCTCAACAACATCTTTCCCCAAAGACCTGGAGCCGCTCAATGTGGTCAACTCAGACCGTGAGTAGAAAGTTAATATATATACAGCGGGTAAAATAAGTATTGAACACGGTTAGGTTATAAAAAATACTCATGGAAAACAGCAAGATACTCATGGAAAACAGCAAAATACTCATGGAAAACAGCAAAATACTCATGGAAAACAGCAAAATACTCATGGAAAACAGCAAAATACTCATGGAAAACAGCAAAATACTCATGGAAAACAGCAAAATACACATGGAACCCGAACCTAACACTTATGGTTTGATTTCTTTGTATGTATGGATCACTTGGGTTGTTACCGACATCTGGTGAAAATTTCATGTCATTAGCACCTCTAGTAATATATTTACTGAGAAAAATGGTGACGTGTTCAATACTTATTTTACCCGCTGTGTGTGTGTATGTGTGTATGTATATATACACACATACACACACACAGCGTGTGTGTATATATATATATATATATATATATACAGTAGAAAATGTGAATAAAATGTCTGAATATTTAAATCCATATTTTTGTGTGTCTGCAGAGTCGTACCAGTATCCAGGATTTCAGGGTTTGCTTCAGGACAACGACACTTTGCGTCTGGGACTAGACTTTCAGAGAATGTTACGGATCAATCATATTCTCTACATTGCAGCCAGGTTGGCAGACACACATAAACACACATAAATAGAATTTAATACAAGTGTGTTTAATCAGTTTGTAGGCTGAAAAAATTAATGGTCATTTTGGAAAGCATACCATGATTTCAGAATATTTTTAAACTAAAGTTACCATTACTATGCAGAGGTGCATGAGAACTAATTAAAAACTGTATTTACTGGCTGCTGGAGGCACACTGTTCTCTGTGTTGGTGCRGTGTCCGTCTGCACGGGTGGTCTTGTGTGCACGATATCTCCTGAATGAAATTATATATTTACTTATAAATAGGTACAGTAACTCCACTAGGGTAAGGCTCTGTCTGATTAGATTGGGCATCAATGGGTCAAAAGTCAAGGCCAKTTATGCATACATGTCAACCCCTTTGGACGTTTTCCTGTATAATTAGCCTCAAAAATCCATATTTTTTTTTCAAAAAAATCCATCGGTCGCAGAGATGACAGCACCTGTAGTGCAAAGAAAGGAGGAAATGAGGACGGAAGAACTTATTTATAGCAGCACAGTAGGTTGGAAGATGGTTATTTGATGTTATATGTTGTTTTTCAATGTCCCTCAGGCTCTGACTTGTTAAATAAATTTGAAACTGAGTTTTTGGAAAAAATCCGTTAAACATGAAAAAAAAAATCCATGAGATTGATTTGTATACCTGCAAAATGAGAGAAAATTGTAAATTTTCTGTTTTTATCTATTTTTTTTTTTTTTTTTTTGAGTAGGTAAACTTTTTTTTTATTTCAAACTTATTAAAACTAATGTTTTAGCCTTTTCATTTAGGAGAATTTGTAATATATATTTTTTTCATACTGAAAAAAATGTTAAATATAGTTATCATTTATTTTATTTTATTTTATTTTGAGCTTCTGCTTTTGATTCCTTAATTCCACAAGGATTCCGCATCAGGCTTTGAAAATGTTTCTGGCAAGGTAACACTCACAGAGCCAAAATCAGGCCTCAAATAATCAAAACTATGATAAAAGCCAGCACCGACATGGATGCAAAGTTGGACTAATAATAAAGACACCATCCTTAACGACAGCAGAACAAAACATTATGAATAGAAACAAGAACGCACGTATGAAGAAGCACATTCACCAGGATCCTGTAACTCTTCAGAGATGTGAATCTGCACGGTTACCCTGACTCTGTGCTTTGAACCCCTCAGGGATCATGTGTTTGCTGTGAACCTGACGACGGCTTCAGAAGAGTTTGTCCCGCAGCTGGTGAGTAAATTTATACGATAAACAGTTTATTTTGGGGTRTGTTGATTCCAGAGAGCACAAAAATGTTGGTGCAGTGTTTTTTAACTGTTAAAAAAAGCCTGAGTTTGTTGAATGTCAGAGTTTTCTTTCAGCCCTACGGCTGCCGCCTGCTGCTCTTTAAACTCTGAACTTGTTGAGCAGCTATTTTTAAAAATAACTTTCAAACAAGAACTGGTTGAATACCTTAGAAGGATTTGGAAATGTTTAAATTACTGTGCGACAATTTCCCACTCCTCGGTTGTGGTTATTTATTTTTCACTGCCATGAAAAGGTAGTTGATCATGTAATAGCCCATGACTGTGTGTGTTTGTTTGTGTGCTAACAAAAATATTTTTGGATGTATATCCACTGCTGATTACTTTAAGATTTGATGTTTTGCAAGATGGCCGCCACAGCCATGTTCTCCTCATGCACCTGTGAGTTTTCTCTGTGTACTCTGGTTTCCACCCACTCACCAAAAACATGCATGTTCGGTTGATTGGTAACTCTAAAATTCCAGGGAGTACCCCCCGCCTCTCTGAYAAGCACCAGCTCTCCACAACCTGGGAAGGAGAAGAGGGTAAAGAAAACAGATGGAAATGTGTGTGACAGCAGCTGAGTCATTCTCAACACGTTTCGATCTTGTGAGATCTCGGCGCGGCTTCACGCTGAGGTTCAGTCGTACGCTAGAATGTTTTCCTCTGAAGCACACCGAACGGCAACAAAACGGATGGCTGACRACGCAACGAACGAACCTTTTTTACTTTTCACACAGTGGATCCATTAAGAATCAGGGCGGCAAAACAAAACTACAGTGGCTTGTAATATTTGAGGCAGCACAAAGGACACATTTCCTTTGATCTCCACACCTCCTTCTCATCAAAGGAAAAAGGTTATAGGGTGGCTTCTGACAGTAATAGGCCTCCCGGTGTATTGTGGGACGGTGGGCTTTGATGTGAGCTGTTACACTCGTTATCAATGATTCCACCTCAGTAGTGTGTCTGTGAACTGCGTTGCTTCCTGCGTCATCTCTTCCTTTTTATGTGTTTTACTTTAAACATCTTATTTTTTTTACTGAAACACTCAACGTGGATGACCACACTACTTAAAAATATGTTTCTAATCTTTTTTTTCCCTCCTCTGCCTGTTGATGGATAAAACATTATTACGTTATGGTAACGTTGCTTAGAATAAAAGCTATAGCAACAAGTTGTATCAACTTTTTGAAAAGTAGGTTTCTGCCTAAAAAACATTACGGGTGCAACGATAGAGAAAATTCATGATTCGGTTTGATACGTTTGATGTTTTTCCGATAAAGGAGAAATTTCAATTCCCTTCTTAACTTGTAATTTACTGAAACTAATCATGAACATTTGTTTAACCTCAAAAGTACATCTGCACTCAACAATGCAGCCTAGGTGTAGTCGAACACAGATCCTCTGAGCCTTCAACACAGAGCATCTTCAGAAGACAAGTTGGTAAAATAAATTTTCAAAATCAGTATTGTTCAATACATAGTGTGCATTGAACCAAACGCACTGTATTGAATGGTTTGATACAGATACATGTATTGTTGCACTCCTAATAAACATGACTTAAAACTTAACAAATCAAAAATTGGTAATCAAACAATTCTAAACCGAAATAAGGCAAATAACACAGACATGAGTATTTTTTTGTTTGTTATAAAATTGCCTAAAGATTTCAAACCACTTTTTGCACACAAATTATTGTAAACTTCAATGATCACAAAAAAAAAAAAGAACATTAAACGGAAAAAATATATATTGTGCGTAGTGATGCACGATATATCGGCACTAATATCGGTATCGGCCGGTACTGGTCATTTTTTAGAATATCTGTATCGGTCCGATATGTAAAACTGGGCCGATATTAACGTCCGATATTGATTTCCCACTTTTTAGCTTTGTGTTTCTGTTTTGGGAGAGGGGGATGTTAATGATGCTGCGTAGCTAGGAATAACTGAAGTAGGGAGCTGTGTCAAAGTTCTGGTTGTTTATTTACAGTAGCAAATAAAGACCCCACTGTGTTTGTGCGTATAAATAAAATACAATTTGTGTGTTTGTGTTATCAGTAAATATCGTTTATTGGCCATAACAGCAATAATTATATTGGATATCTTTATCGGCTGAAATTTTCATGTYGGTGCATCCCTGATTGTGTGTATATCAAGTTGTATAAGAAGTCCTAAGTTTTGTGTCATTGGTATTAACTTTGTATCCAAARCTGATGAACCTCAAAAGTAGGATCTTGAAACTGAAAGTCATAAAACTGATTACTACAAGGTTGAGATCAATCAAATTCCATTGAGCGTTGGGGACTGCTGGTGTAAAAACATCCCGTCCATTGAACCATTATCTATACCCGCTTATTCCTTTTCTCGGGTTACGGGGGTCACTGGTGCCCATATCCAGCAGTCACAGTGAGACGGGCGGGGTACACCCTGGACAGGTTGCAAGTCCATCACAGGGACACACAAGCTGTGTTTCCATTGACCATGAAAATGTGCAAATTAGAATTTCGAAAATAAATTTGCTCAATGGAAACACGTCAATTTYGAAAAAAATATTTGGTTTTTCGACAAAATGTTTTTGCGCTAGGATGAGGTGGTATTTCGGCCGTATCGAAATTGGTGTTTTTCGCAAAACTGCAATGGAAACWCTTTTTTTGCATCACGGGAGTCACGTGATCAACAACCGTCTGTTTCTACTGGTGAAAAAGACGAAGAAGAAGATAACAGGCAGTAGTAGTAATATCACAGAAGTAGTATAAAATAGTAAACTCACTGACTACAATTTCCCAAAAACGCAGCATACGTAGCCTCTCCCAAGTAGGGACTTGCTGCTGGAAAGCCTCAATAAAAGACGCCGACGTCTCCTCTGATGATGAGTGCTAGTGTCACGGTAGCAACATGCTATGTGTTTACATCCATCGCCGTCATGTTTGTAATGACTTATCGCGAGAACAAACRTATTCACGCATGACTTTAATAGCATTTCTTACTTAATGGAAACACTGCAGTTGCGAAACTGTGTCTTTCGACATTAACAGAGTATCGACGAAGTTTTGYGCACATTTGCAATGGAAACGCAGCTACTGAGACAAACGAGACAAACAACCACTCACTCTCTCACTCACAGCTTGGGACAATTTAGTTATCAATTAACCTAACAGTCATGTTTTTGGTCCGTGGGAGGAAGCCAGAGTGCCCTGAGAGAACCCACTCATGTACGGAGAGAACATGCAAATTCTACCCAGAAAGATCCCCGGGCTGGGATTTGATCCGGCGACCTTCTTGCTGAAAGGCATTAGCTCTACCAACTGATCCACCGCGCCAGCAATAAGTGGTTTGAAAGCCCGATCCAAAAGACGCACTTGGTCCAACAGAATTTAAGCCTCGTTTACAAACCGTTTGACAGCAGTTGAAGTCTAAAACACAAACATACCAAACAACCCCCACAAAGTTGAAGAGAAGGTGACCCAAATATAAAACAGTGTTCTCAAGACACAACTGCTGCAGTGGATTCCAGATTTCTGATAATCCTCTATCCATGTTTCAGTCTGCGTGGGCAGACAGAGGAGACTGCAGAGTGTAATTCTGCCTGGCCACCTGGATATTAAAGTTTGTTTTGTCTGTTTTTTACAAAAACAAGAAAATRCTATCCATTGTTGTACATGCATGCAGCACAGCTCAGATCATAGCACTCTTTGGAGATGCTTCTTCTGCAGCTCTATCATTTTTTAAGTGGAAATTTGAAAAAATATATATATATTTGTAAATGGTGAAGCACACCTACCTCTGCCCCTTAGGCAGGATTCCCTTCTAAACACAGAGCTCCAGAGCAGATAAGAGATTTGTGGTGCAACTTTTTTTTTCTCTTTGCGTCTGCCAACATKTGTCGGAGCTGCAGCCTCAACAGCTGCTCGCTGATTGGCCTGAAGTGTTTGTTCGAACAGCTCTCCRGTCAGACGTGACTCATCTTCCTCCTCACCTGTGTGTGTTGGCGCTCGTTTCTAATCAGCGCTCTTTAACCAAAACAGCTCACGGAGAAATGACTCCTCTCCTCCACTTTGGCTCTGTGTTCCAGAAGCTGACATGGAAGTCCACAGATGTCAGCAAGTGCACGGTCAGAGGAAAGAACAGCGTAAGTTCATTTCAGCTCAGCTTAATTCTTCTTCCAACTCCTAGTTAGAATAATTTACAGGACTTTTCCTTTTAGTGAGAACATTTTTTTCAGTTCACTTATTTGGGTTTCAGGATGAGTGCTACAACTACGTCAAAGTGCTGGTGCCTCGGAATGATGAGACTCTATTCGCCTGTGGTACCAATGCTTTCAACCCAACCTGTCGAAACTACAAGGTAACATTAAGTCACCTGTTAATSCAATCCAGATACATGTTCTTAACACTACACAGCAATGGCTTAGTGTTTTTTTTTTTATTCCTCCTCTTGTAAAAGGTCATTTGAAGAAGCCCTATGGGTCATTCCTACACATTTTACTCATTCAGTGAGGGATCTTTTCCAGCTCGATATATATTGACRGTTTCCAGGCTGCAGTGGTGGGAAATAACTACCGGGTGTTTGAAGGTCTTGAAAAGTATTGGATTTTCAGAAAGGCAGTCTTAATAGCTCTTTAATTTTATTTGTTTTTTGCCTCTTCTTTGGCTCCAACTAAATGAATTRTGAGAAAATAGATTGTAGAGAAAAAAACTAATGGGAATGAAATATAAAATACTATTAAAAATTAAAGAAGTTTCCAACTGAAATGTTTTTTTATAAAGAAGTATTGTTGATGTTTTTTGTTTTTTGATGACATTAAATCAGTTTAAGAAAATCTTAAATTAGGTTGTCCTTAGATTACCTGCTGGTTTTATTAACATTTTTGGATTTCAAATCTGGCTGTTTGGAAAATGGTGAAGAAC